CTCTCCCACACGGAAGGGCAATGCACGGAAGCAATCTCAGCCGTCGATGCTTTCGACTTTGAACGGCCGATCTTAGCGGCGGAGGAGGAGGAGTTGGAGAGGCGTGTGACGGTGAGAGACGTGTTGAAGTACTCCCTGACCTGGGTAATTATCCCATCCGTGACGGTCCAGGCGTGGACCCAGTAGATCCCGCGCTCCGAATCGCAGCCTTCGGCGATCACGATCGAGCCGAAGGAGGCAATCGATTTGGGGGCGAAAGAGAAGGACGATTCTTGATGGTGGAGAATCTGAATCTTCTGATCTTTGTTGTCGTTGTCGGCGCCGGTGAGCAATCGCATCATAAACTGGTGGGAAGGAGGGCCATGGAACCACCACTCGAGGTCGTGGGCGAGGATCTTGGTGACGGTGTCTACGTCGCGGCAGCTCAAGGCTTCATAGAGCGAAAGAACCACCTCTCGGTTCTTCCTTTCCAGCTCTGCCAGCTCGTTGGAGTTCGCCAGATTCGTTGGATAGTGCCCGGAGATTCCCGCGGCGGAGGGAGGAGAAAGAATGGTTAGAGAGAGAGAGAGAGATAGAGAGAGAAGGTTCTGGAGTGGGGATGAAGATTGGATTGGGACCGGTGGGAGAACTGGTGAAGGCTCTATTGGAGGAAGGAGGGAAAAGGGGAATTTATAAGGACGGGAGGGGAGGGGAAGGGTGGTGTGATCCGGTGCGGGGATGTGTAGCTTGTTCTCGTGGTGATTCCTGATACGTGGCGAGTGCGGAGTGGTGATCGCTTGACTCCGGTTTTTGGGCTGGTTTTATGGATGGGCTGGGCCCGCGTCGAAAAGGAGAGAGAAAGAGAGAGTTGCAAAGTGCGTGGAAAAGTCAAGCCGACTCTTTCGGACCCTCTGTTCTTCAAGGAGGGAAAGGGATGGAAAAGGAAAAAAGTGGAGGGAAAGTTGGAAATTCGAGGACTTCCCCCCGTTTCCGAAGCGAAGAAAAGTAGAGGGGAAGGGGAAATGGTATGGATTATTCACTGTGCAAACGGCCCTCCCAAATTGGAGAGAATTGGAGGGAAAGACAATTTTGGTGGGCTGCTCCAATTTTTTATTTATTTTTTGTTAGAAGTTACGTTGGGGAATGGTGATAAACTAGGTAGGAAGCTTATTTTAATTTTAATTGTTTATGAAATTTTAACGCCATGCTTATCTTTTATTATTCTCTTTCCTTTTAATGTCATACTTATAATTAATTGATAGTCAATATTTGACCGCCTATGGGAATAAAAGGTTAAGATATTTGACCGTACAATTTTTTATGATAGATAGTTAATCTCCTAATAGTTTTTATGTGTAATAGAGGTTGTATTGGAAAAATTAGCAATAGAATATTTATGCTGAAAGGTTGTCAAATCGATTTTAACCATTGCGACGGTTTAGTAAGTGGCATGGTTTGATCGAAGTACAATAAGTTTATGTCGATTTAATAAAGTGTGGTTCGATCGAAATACAATAAGTTTATATCGATTTAATAAAGTGTGGTTTGATCGATGAATCAATAAAATAGCAAACAAAATTTTAACAATAGGTTTAAAAAAAATCAAATCATCTACTTTTTATTTTTGATAGTGAACAAAATTAGTAAAAATTACAAATTTAATTCATAATTTATAACAAATGAAAATAATATCAACATATAATCAAATTATTTTACTATTATATACCCAATAAAATAATATATCTATCACAATTCCCAATACAAATTTTCTTTCCCACTTTCCTCCATAAAACACCATTTTCCTTCCACTTTCCTTAACCTCCAAATTGTCCCTCCCCTCCTAATTCCTTCCCCTCCCCTCCATTTTCCTCCCTTCCTTCGGAAACAGGGGATTCTGAGTTAACAGAGGAGATTACTGATAGTGATAATCAAATCCTTTGAATTCATTCTTTGATAAGTTGTTTACTTAATTTCAAGTTTTTTAATTCTATTTTTTTTCTCTCCTATATATATTCCCTCGATTGTGTCGACGTTTTTTCCCATGTAGATAACGTGCCGACAAAATATTGGTTTGGTTATTGTAATTACCGTGGGACCAAGATGGCAAATCCTTTGGATTTTGCACGTAATTAGGTCTCTTCTCTCTTGTTCTATTCGTCCCAAATGGCAGAAGACGTCGGGATGCATTCTTGTCCATGTAGAAAAGTGAATCTCATGGAGAAGTCATAAATCAGAAAGATGAAAGATAAAAGTCTCGCGGCAAAACAAATAAAGAAGAAGAGAAAAAACAACTAATTTTTCCACCTTACACATCCTCGAGTGAGTCTATGTTATCAATATGATTTTGCTACCTATGATGTTCATTTTGTCGAGGGAAATAACATTTGGGTAGTTTGCATCTAAGTGCATATTTAATGATTACAGATTGATCATACAATTACTCAATCTAACAACGGTTACATGTATTGATGTATCCCCTATCAATGCTCTATTAACGAGTTGTTACGCCTATATATTTACATTTCTACACATAAATAAATTAAAGTTAAAAAGTAGAAAGGAATGGAAGATGGGTTGTTCCAATTAAATTCAAGGACGCTTTTACGAATATCCTCGTTGTTGTTGTTTTCAATGCATATAACCCTCACTTTTTTCAATTTATTAATGAAATTTGCTTGACAAAAAGTGCAAGTTAAATTGAGGGAGTGAAAGCAAAGTTTTCTTTGTAGGTCGTATTTGGAATATTATTATTTATTATTTGCCTATTGTATTGGGATATATTATGGTTCCAGCCAGTAGGCAATTAATCGGTATTTGGCCGTGTATTTATTTTATGAAGGTATGGCTGCCTATTGCATCAGTTGCAACTTGCAGTTGCATGCATGACTGGGCTTTGGGTATTTCGTGGAGCCGCCAGAACGGACCACGTGTCACAGTTTCACCACCCATCGGTGGCGGAGGACTGTGCAGCCTTTGTTGTTTCCCCCATTATTATTCATCGTAATGGGCTAGCGCCTAGCTGGCGGTCATCGTCACTGGCCGGAAAGTAGGATTCTTGGGCTTCAGCTATAAGAGGTTAAAAGGTTTAACTATTCATTTCTCAACAACTCGAGTTGTTGGAATCAAGTGGTTAGTTTAACCCAACGGCGGATCTAGGGGGCCGCCCCCGGGCCACGGCCCAGCCCTCCCTCGATCCGTAGCTAGTATAGCACGTGTAAATTTTCGATTTTTGGTGTTCGTTTCGGTGTTTGTTTCAGTATTCGTCATATTACGGCCCAGCCTTCTCTGCTTTTTTCCAATGTGGCTCAGTGCTCTACCCAATCCTGGATCCGCCGCTGGTTTAACCTGTGCAAATTGTAGAAGAAAACTCCGAATAAAGATAGGCTTTCGTTTGAGGGGCGTATAAAATGTTAAAATGCTTAACTATCCCTTTCCCAACAACTCGAGTTATTGGGACCAAGTGGTTAGTTCGCTAACATCGGCGGCTGTTGATGAGAATGGCGTAATCTGTGTTTATGGACAATGGTGCAGCCAAGTAACCCAATTTTATTAAATTATATTATTTCTTACCAATGCACAATCAGCAAATATTATAGATTAAACATACGCCTCCTCATGCGAACGTGGCGCGATCAGTGTGGCAAGGAGAATGATTAAGCAACGATTAATTGATTCATGGGCCTCGATTTCATATGGGACCTTACTTAATTATTATTATTATATGCCTCCAGGCTCCAGATATGCCGAAAGCAAATTTTGGTGGCTTGTGTACTTTAGGCATCGGCTGCCGAAAGCCACTAATCTATAGAGTAGAGATAATATATGTTGTATTATTTTTGTAAATTTCCCCCCTTTTCCCTATTGTTGATGATCATATAAAGCATAATATGACGGTGACATAAATTTTATGGGAATTATAAGGGAAAAAGATTAATTGTAGATCTTATATTACTCGATAAAATGAATGCCAACTCACTGGTTTGAATTTTGTACACAACCGTTATATTGTTAATATTGGGGTCATAGAGATTCGAACACACGATCGATCATTTGGCCTGACCAACTCTGATACCATGTTAAGAATCAATTGACCACAACAATTCAAATTGTTAAAAATGGATAATTGTGAATTTTATATCACTATTTTATTCTTCAGTGTCACCGTGGTTGTCACCTAGTATCCAAAAGTAGGGATGACAATTTCGACCTGACTCGTTTTACCCGACCCATTTGGACTGTTTTGGGATGCGCATGGGTACTCTCGACGACCCGAACTGCTCTGACCCGCCCAATTATTCACCCATTCTTTGTAATATTAGTCAAATTACTTAGATTTTTCCTTTTATTACAACATATTTTTATCTATAATAAAGTTGAAAATTAGTGAAAACCTCAATTTCTCAAATAATTTAACTATATTTATCATAAAATGGTTTGTTTTCTTGGTCTTATAATGAAAATAACGAGTATTTCTAATATTTTTTTTATAAATTGCTTACCCATTTGATCGATCTACCCCAAGGCACAATTCATGATAAATTATCCGATCTATACCTAACCTGCCACGAGGATATGGTATCCATCCCATACCTACCCATTGCCCGTTCTAGCCAAAAGCTAGCTGAGAGAAATTTTATATCATCATTTGGGCCAGTTCAGCAAAGTAAAGCCCCAGCCCGTATCGTACAGGCTCAGAAGTCGGAACTATGCTCCAAGAATTCGCAAATTACTTAACTGGACCTAGTCCGTCACCTCACAAGCCCATTTATTTTGCAATTATATCTTCGCTGCCCTCCAAGCCCCAAGCAAATCAAAAGCAGAAGAAATCCAAGGATAATTTTATCACAACCAGACAGCAGATGCAAGTCAATATGCACTAAAACGGGATCAGCCGAAAGGTCCTCTCAATCAGAGTATACTCAGGAGGTAGAAAGAGCCGAAGAGAGAGATATACATTACACACATTTGTAAACTGAACTCAAGAAAACTATTGTAAACTCTACACACATTTGTATCACAATTCACACACTCAACTCTTTGTTCACAGTTGCAGATGGTAAGCCTGAATCCACACTATTCTCCACAGAAATGCCATCTCTTTCTATCGTTGAGGGAGTTGGCGCAGCCATGGCATGATCCTTGGCTCCTGGAGCCTCTTTCACAGGACTGGAGGAATCAGGCATTGCACCATGCCACGGGCTAGAGACGCCACGTGCTGGAGACGACCCTGGCTGCTTACCACTGCCATTGGTATGTTTCTGCAGTAGCCTGTTCTCGACGACATCGTAAGCATTCCCAGTTCGAACCTCCTGAGCTAGCGAACACCAGCAGCAGCACAGCCACAGTGTGCAGTCAGAGGCACCCGGTTTACCGAAACAAAAGGTATATGCCGGTAAATTGAACCTCTTCCTCATCTGAATCCTCCAGAACCCACCATAGAGAAGGCCAAACAGACAAAGGATGAGTCCAGTGACTCCCAATGCTTCTCTCACAATCTCATTGTCAATGTTGACAGCAGCCAAGTTGAAGATCCAGAACGGAGCCATGCAGAAGAGGAGAAATGTCGCTATATGGACATATCTGTTACCGAAGCCAAGCCTCTCCATGTTCCAACCAAAGACACAGAAGCTGCAGAAGAGCGAAAGGTATGCTAGAGAGATATCGTCCCAGAAATCGAGTATCCCACCACTCCATTGTGGCCGGCTCTCGAACATCATTTCAGTAATATCCCCTGTTGCAAATGAGTATCTCTTTTCTAATTTCCTGGACAACAACTGAGCCCCATTAATGGAAGTACTCCCCTCCTGCGCTTCCTCATCCATATCCGAATCATAGTCCTTTCCTAAGGGACTGAGGATTGAGTACACACCAGCAGCAGCTGGGGCAGCTATTGCTACAGATATGCATAATCCAACTCCTAATGGAGGTCGTTGAGACCTCCTGTACCCTAAGTTGAGACCACATAGTGCATACTGTGCAAAACAGTTTAAATGCAGCAGAAGCACCACGACCATCATATGTGCCCATTCGTGTGGCTTGTAAGCCCCATTCTTGCAGTAAATCTTCCTAAGCTTAGTAATATCGTCAGGTCTCCATCTAATAAGCAGGGCCAGATGGTAAAATCGCTTTGGATGTTGGTACAAGCACATGAGGGTGAACAATGCATTGAGTATCTGGTTATTTACCTCAAACCATGCATTCCTCTGAGACTTGCTGGGCAAAGCATGGTTCAACATTCCAGTCATGACAAGGAACAAGATCGCACCTGATATGGCAACAATCAGTATCCATATGAAAAGGGCCAAGTTCATTGGGTCTCGGATCCATTCTTTGCTCATCTTGAACACAGATGCCCAATCGATCTTCTTAGCACAAACCTCATGAATCCGCTCTCTAATGCCACGGCTGCTGGAAGAAGCTACCAAACGCGAGGCATCGTCCTTGTCCTTAGCAAGCTGCCTGAATCTGGCAGATGCAGAGCCAAACTTGAGGAAGGCAGCACGGTTAGATACGTTAGGTAAGCTGTCTTGTTGCGACTTCTTGGGAAGGCTGTCATTTCCCAGTAAGGTCTTCTTAGAAGTCGAGAGCTCAATAGAGACATGAGCTTGGGACTCTTTTCTTTTGGATTCCTCATTATTGTCATCTTTCTGATTCCCGTTTCCACTTGAACCCATGCGTCCTTTCCCTTCCACAGTTGAGCTACCTATCCTAAACAGAGAAGCGGGTGTGAGATTGAAATCAAAACTTGGGAAACTCCATTTACAATGTCTCCATTTCTTTCTTCTGGTATCATAATTTCATAAACCCAGAACCAAAAATAGAAACAAAAACCAAAAGCAATGATCTTTTTCATCTGGGTATGAGCAATTCCAGATAAATAAGATGGGCAAGGAATCTGTCAACGTGAAAGTCCCCCCTGAAACCAACAAATACAAGCAAAGATACAGACTTGGGAAAAATACCAAAGATATTTTGGATTAAACCCAAAAGGTAAAAGGTCTAAACAACTCTAAAATACACGCCAATAGCAAAAAAGATACAAAAATTCAAACAATCAACCATTCAATCAAAGGGCCAAGCAACGAAAACTAATGAGAAACAAAGCGCGTGATCCACAAATCAGGAACAGAATCACAGCAGACGTAACTGAGAGCGAGTAGGAGAGATTCACCAGAAGAACCAATCAATCAAGGGGCCAAGCAATGAAAACTCATGAGAAACAAAGCCCACGATCCGCAAATCAAGAACAAGAACACACTAGCTGTAATTGAGAGCAAGAAGGGGAGATTCACCAGAAGAACCAAACAAGTAACAGTAGAAATGTAGAATCGAACCCTCTGAGCGAATAAATGCGCAGAGGAAAAGGTGGAAGTTTTTTAAAGCTTACCGACTAGACGTGGAAACAGAGGAGAACCATTGACTGGCAGCCAGGGAAGCAAAAGGAGGGAAGGAGAGAGTGGGAAAATATCGGGGCGGGATTAGTTTTCATCTAAGCAGGCTGTTCCTTCTTGTTTCTTTTCCTTCTTCTTTCCCCTGCTTTGAACACGTATAAAGTTATTCGCTTTCTGGGTTATTACGAGCGGGTAAGTAAGAAATAAGAACGGAGCTCCCAGCTTAGCTCAGAGACAGCAAGCATTTCATTTGTGTGATTAGTCAATTGAGTTTGCGGATGCTTGCGTTGTGAAAACAGGGCACCTCTTTTATAAACAAAAGCCAGCCAATTGCTTGCTAGCTACAGAGTAGCTGAGTGGGTACAACGTGGAAATGGACGGTTTGCGTATTCACGCCACCTCCTACTTTGGTTGCTACGGACAAAGATTCTCTACCGTGTCTTGTTCTATAGAAGTAGTAAGAACAGAGCGCTTTGTTATTGACAGCATCTTCTCCAATCCAATTGCAGCATCCAATGAGTTAACACAAAGGATCGCTCGCTGAGAGGACATTGTCACTCGCTACAATGACGAGCACAAGAGTAGGTCACAGGCTCACGGTGAACTCGAATGGGTCATTCATTCATCTCATTCACCCCAGAGAGCAGTCACCTAGAAAGGATTATACCAGAATGGTAGGGTTGCTTGGGTATCTAAGACAGGAAATTAGATAAGTGGAGACATTTGATCGTCTCGAACTTGCCTTGCAGCTTGGTTGATTTCAGCTTCGTGTCGGAAAAGAAAAGCATGCCTATGTTTGATCACAGCAAGTCTACCAACAAGTACAACAGCAAATAATGTAAACCGAAACAAAACCAAATTCCACATCAGTTCATGCAGTGTAACCTACTCTTAACTCTTTAATCCTACTGTCAAGATAGCTTCATTACAAGCTAACACACCGTGGCTAGGACGAACCATCATGTTTCAAATCTTGGAACCTCTTAAGTAGGCCTGTTTTGTACTTGTCAATGGCCTCTTCCTCTACTGAACTTGGAGTAGACTGAACTATAGGGATTGCACCTGCTTTGAGTAAAGCTCCAGCAGCTTTATCTGCAAGTTTTAACAGCATATGTTAAGCAACCTACATCGGCGAACAACATCAATCTTTCCAACCTATTGCATTCCCTAGAGTCAGCACAGCTCCATCAAATTGGCATCAGCCTAATACACATATATTCTCAGAAGTAATTCAATCATTCACTTGCTGACAGAATAAGGATCAGCATATGGAATACAAGGAACCTGATTTAGTCAAAGCTGCAAGAGCCTCAAGAGCAGCTTTTCGGGTTCGGTCATCTTTAGCAGCCTCCAACATGTTGAGCAGCTCTTGAGCACCACCCAGCTCCACTATCTTCATCCTCCTTCCATCTAACCAGTTAAAGAGAAAGCTAGTAGATTCACTTCAGCTGCCGACATTTTCAAACAAGAGGGGCAGGTATCCAAAAATCTAAGTAGAAAGAAGCGAAGACTCTACCATCAATAGCATAACTGGCTAATCTAGAAGCTCCGCTTCTTTTAAAGAAGGGATCCTTCACTTGCAAGAGCGAAATCGACTGAAGGACCAAATTATCTCCTGCAAAAACAACGCAATGAAGCAGTCGACCACTTCAATTCTCTACTCTAGAGTTCCCTGACGATCACTTTGCTCAAACGAAATTAGAATTGGCAAAAGGGTTACCCATATAAGGGAAGAACTGATAGCCGATGGCGGTGGCAGTCCCAGCGAAGATCACCTTCAGCAACCACCCTATTTTTCTCTCAGCTTCCTCCTCCATCGCCGCCGCCGCCTCATCTACACAGCTAGGTTCAATTAACGACAGAAAAAAGAGGAGGCACACATAGCGTTGGCTGAAAATTTAGGGATTAGGGGAAGAGAAAGCACCTGCTCTATTGACCGACGGCGACGAGGAGCAGAAATTGCGCGATCGCTGCACATTTCCGGCTGGTCTCCCGCGTAGATACTGCGAGCAAACAGTCGGTAAGAACCAAAATTAGAGAAGAGTGAAACGCCGTAGTCACAATCTAAAGGTCGACGACCGGTCGCCGGAAGTACTTACCGTTCGGAGATGAGCTGCTAACGTGCGCATCTCTTCCAAATGTTTCAGACGAAGCTTTCACACTTCACAGTACCTCTCCCAGAGTAAAGACGAGTAGACGACACGTTGTTTACGCTAAATGGGCCGAGATTCTTGGGCATGGTCTTATGTATCACGTAATGGGCTTTCATACGATGGCCGAAGATTCAATCGGCTATCAGCCCATTACAAAAGCCCACAGTGTTTTGAGTGTCATACCATGTCTTTGAACGCAAAAACATCAAATGAACGGGAAAAAATTATGATCGAAGATAGTACTTGAACTATAATACCGTTCTATACACGCAAAGAGTGAAAAAATACATGAAACATATCCCATACATTTGATTTCTATATAATTAAGGATTACAAAAATTGCAGAATGCATTGATTAAAACCTCAAAACCATCTTCGACTCTCACGTCGATTAGGACGCCAGCTGCTTCCTCAGCATCTCCATAAATCCAACACCGTATCACCTGCCAAGAAACGTAATTCATAAGCAAAATTATACCTGGAGATACTTTCTCCTACTCGGAACAAATGTTCTCAACAGCATAACTCTATTCACGAGCTTCCCGGGGTTAGAAAAGAAGGGTAGTAATTCAAACTGACCTTCTCCTTCTCTTGTTGGCTGAAGGAGGGATCAGTCCTCTTTTCTCCAGGCTCTTAAACCGATCCGTGGCGAGAGTGCAGCACGCCTTTCATGCCATTCAACACACAACACAACATCAGACTTCTGTTCCAGTTTTCAGTAAGACAATAGGGTTCTATATAGGAGGATGGTGTGGAAGAAGGTGACCCTAAGATTTTTCAGTATACCTTCAACTTGCGAAGTGAGCCAGTAATCTCTTCAGACAACAGTACTTGAGTAGGAGCAGGCACAAATCTAAAAAAACAAAGCGGTTTTAAAAAATTTCAGTAACTGGAACGGAAGATTATTGCAAAAGGGATTATGGTAAGAGACACTAAAGCATACTTGTGCCTCCCCAGGCGCGGGGGTTGCTGTTTTAGTCTTTCCTGCTTTGCCACTAAACGACGCATCATTCTCTTTTGCTTCTCTTCATCTTCTTTGGCTATTTCATCAATGATTGTTGGTAAGCTGCATCCAACAAGAGGAATTTAAACAACATTGCATATCCTGTCAAGTAAGAGAAGGCACTAACTATGGTACTGGTCAGTTTTGTGACTTCACCTATCGATTTCTTTTGAAATTTCTGCTTTCTTTTTGGCTTCTGATTCTTTTTTCTGCCGGTCTTTCAGTCTAGCTCTTCTATTGAACTCAACTCTTGTAACCATTTTCTTCATGGAAGAACTGGAGGATCGTTCAAAAGAAGATTTCATTGGTCAAGATAATTTCCATAATAGACAGGGAAATCACATTGATAGATTTCGAAAGCTGCACAAGATAATATACCACACATATATTGTATTGCACATCATAGTCACACAAGAAATGCAAACCTCTTTTCTGGAGCATCTTCATTCTCCTCATTTGCTTCATCATCCCCATTATCAGCCTCAAGAAAGTACATCTGAGACAATAGAGGAAACCGTAAAGTTCTGCTCAAGGCAACCTTTCTTAGTCAAAACAAAATGACCACACCACAAACAATCAAGCATTCAACAGTCGGATAAATTACTCACCTCTTCCTCTTCAATAGCATCTCCTTGAACAGTTAAAGGTACAGGCTGAGGTCCCAGCTCGCTTTGATAGACTTTCTGCATTTCTTCCGCAACAGCTTTTGCCAAGGAATCCTGAATCAAGGACAAGATTTGATCAGCAACTTCCCTCCAAAAAGCAGATGGAAAATGCAGAATAAATGCAATTTGGACAAGTTACCTGATGGGCTTCAAAATTGGGATTGTATGAACATCCAGGAGGGTCAACTTCCACTGCAGGAATAACCGACGTTTTGACAACCTGCATCCATAAATGCATCACCACACAAATATGAATAATGACCAGACCATTATCACTGGTGAACCTGAAATCAGATTGGAAGAGAACGCACCTTCCGAGTTCTGATGTCACCTTCCGCTGCAAGATTGACAGAGTACATATATATACATGAGACTTTCCGCCAATCAATAAAACATAAACTGAAAAAAATCATTCTAGTCCTTGGGCAATAAGAATACCTTCATTTTCCCACAAGTCAACAATCCCAGACTCACCATCCTGAGACATGAAAGAACAAAATGTTTAAACTTGTGACAACTTCCATGTGCCAGAAATATAAAACTGCAGTTTTGATCAACTTCCATCCGAGGAGGACAACCTTCGTAGCATCATCTTTCGAAGTGGAAGCCTCAGTAGAGTCTTTCTTATTCTTCTTATTCTTCATGCTCGACTTCTTCTTATCATTTGAAGAAGGAATTGCCTTAACAAAAGGGTTCCTCTGCAGAACACTGTCACAGTGGAGCACTTTCTCTCTGTGCTTTTCAATCTTCCTCTTCACAGAAAGGTCTGATATCGATAACAACATCAATAATGAAACCCAGAATAAGACCAAGGCAAACTAACCTAAAACGAAACCCACTAGTTATCACAGAACCAGGCAAACAAATTGCACATATTCAATTCCATTCGAAGCTGAACCTAGCAATCAACTCCACTATCTTCCGATTACGTGGAGGAACAGGGGAAAAGGAGGTACCTTTGGATTTGTCGACAAAGAAGAGGGATTCATTGGGTACCTCGGCGAGGGAACCGCCGGTGAGAGCGTCTTTGGTTGATTTCTCGATAAATTCGTCGATGTCATCGGTGCTTATGTTAGCTCTCCATGCTTTCTTCCCCTTCCTCGAGCTCTTTGGCTTCTTCCCCATCTCGTTTGACCGCTGTTCTGTCGCTTACTCTCTATCTCGGCGTTCTGCGGCGGCTCTTCTCTGTGTCTGAGTAATGCAGCAGCGGCGCGAGTTGTGGAGTTGAAGAACTTGGAAGGGAGTAAGAGCGAAAAGGAAAACCTCGCGACGGGGAAGACGTCACTCTTGCGCGGGTCTAGACTCTAGAGCGGTGACGCGTGGTGAGCTTTGGGCCTTGGCCGTTGTCAACGACTGGACCTGCTCCAAAGCTAATATGGGCCCAATTGTGAAAATAGGCTTCGTTTAATCGACCAGTGGCTTTGTTTACCAAATAAATTTCCTGCGTTGCCAAGTGCCAACACTAGACCGGCCTGATGACGGGAGGAACCACAAGAAGCTAGGTAGGGGTGGGAAGCGGTGCGGTTGCGGTTAATTGCACCGAATAAGCGCGGTTAACCGCCACCGCACAAGGGGAAAACCACCCACCGTTACCGCAATGCAAACGGTTTGCGGTTAACCATTAACCACAAATCACGGTTAGCGGTTAATTGTGGTTAACTGCACTTTAAACCGTACACCGCGATTAAGAGTTAAATGGTGTAAAAAACCGCGAAATGAAATAAAATCGCAACAAAATACCGAATTAACCTGTAAAATCCAGCAACATGCACTTGAGAAATTAACACTAAAACAAGGAAAATGCACCTAGAAAAGTCAGAAACAGAATTAAGTTCTAAACATCCAAAAGAAACCATCCACATTAAGTTCTAATACGGAAAATGCACCTGGAAAATTCATTTTGGGTTGTTGGATGGGTTGGGCTTGGGTTGGGTACACTCTTATGCGGTTAGTTATTCGGTGGAGTTACTTATTCGGTGCGGTGTGCGGTTAGTCCACAAACCGCAAAAGAGTCAATTTCACTAACTGTTACCGAATTAGTCACTAGCTACTATCAGTGATGAACGTCCTGGTAATGCAACAACCAGCCACCAAATTATAACATCGTAATGGGCTCCCTAACCACCTTAATTCGGTCAACTTGGTAATACTAATCCGTGCTACCCGATTAATTAAGAGTTGAGTATAAACAATACCCTATTTATAATAGTTGCTCAATTTAGTAGAATCAACCCGTGTCAAATCTATAAGACTATAACATGATCACAAAATTACTATCCACATATATAGTCTTGTAGATGCATGGGATCCCATACGGGTAGGACTGTGACAGATTGGTGCTTGCTTGCATTGCATCCATCATTTCGGTTTGACTTGCTCGTGAAAGCTTTGCATATCATTCGACTGACTCGAGGTCGAGGGAGCAAATACGAAAACTACTAGACGGTTAAAGTAAAAGGAATGGAGCGGGTCGGGTCACTGTCGCAAAAGCAAGCAGACAAAAGTTACATTTCACGACCGAAGCGCAGAGCTCAATAACAAAGCTCTAACGCCCAACCAAAAAGCTCCTCTCATGACTCCAAAATGTGTGGGGTGCATGCGCCTGACAAAAAACCTATTACAAAGATGAAGGAAGCCATTGGAGCCCCGAGGATCGAGCTATACAGAGTCAGATCAGCTCTAGCCAGCAGCCAGCCAGCTAGCTAGGGCAACAAGAGGTCAGTAGATGCCAACCAATGAGTTATCTCGCACCATGCCATGCATGGGATTGCTTCCAAAACTTCAACAAACGGACACAAACAGTTGAAAACACGGTCCTAACGTGAAAGTCTCTCCATCCACACACCACACCATTCTACCGTTGCTTGGCTACTACTTGCCTTCATCATGCATGTAATCTTTGTTCTAATTTGCTACGACGACGATTATGTTATTTCGGGGGTGGCTAGAATTTGGGTTGACGTTTAATACGGATGGTGGTGATGGCAATGCGGCAGGGCGGGACGAATATCTCAATATTCATTAATTTTGTTCCACACTAAGCGCGGATCAGGTCTGGTAATACCGACACGAGTATAGGGCGGGACAAGTCGGCCAATCCTTATATGTTACTTGAAGAAAAGAATGTTGCTATTCAATTCTTTTACAAGAAAACGAAGATAATGCGCTTCATAAATGAATCATAGATATAGTAAACGGAGAAATTCAGTCTAAATAGTTGAAAGTTGGAGCCTTAAAATCTATTTGGGATGAAAATAAGATTTAAAAAAGGTTAAAATAAGATAAATACGAGTAGATATTGATGAAAATTAAATCATGATAGAGCAGATAAAAAACAGGGCGGAACATATCGAAAGTAGTATTTATACCCCATGCTACTATGAATTGAGTAATATTCCTCCCAAACAAGTCGGAGCAGATCAATATTTATCTACTATCTATATAATACGCTGAAGGGAAAAACAGCTTCTCCATTTCAAAATCCCTGCCTCCAGAGCGTTTTTCGGAGGGGTATATTTGGCAAAAAGATTATTTCTCTGTCTATCTCACGGGAGTAAATCGTGAGCCCTGACTATTGAACGGGCCTCGACCCACCTCATTTGCTGAAGGTTTTGTGTTCTACTCTTAAACCCGCACTTCGTCTTCTTCGCCTCACTTTCCTATCTCCCGTAACTCCTTCTCTGCTTCCTCGCTGACCTCATCTCGTCCTCCGACCATCACCTCCCGTCGTTTATAACCATCTCCCCCACCAGTTCCTCCCCTCCAATCTCAAGCTTTCCAAGAGTCCTTTCAGGAGGAGACCGTTAAGCCTTAAAACGGAGAGAAAAATCATGAATGATTTGGTTCAGCAGAGACGAGTATCTCCCGTCCAGTACCCCCTAAGATCGCATCCAGAAGAGCCAGTTCGGAGCAGAAACAATCTTCGAGAAACAGGAGAAGGCCGGCGACAGAGATCCACCACATAATCGCTGCCAAAAAGGGTAAGGATATATTTGTTTTTGGAGAAATCAAGATCTGGAAGCTTGCCTTGCCTTCTTTTGATTTCTCAAACGTGGATTTAGAGGGGATGCTAGAAGAAAGGTGGAGAAACCCTCATTCTACGTTGATGTAGAGGAACACGTAAAACGTGATTCGGAGGGGCTCACAGGAGAAAGTGTGTGGATTTTCGTTGCTGTCCCGTTGGACTCCGCCATTAAAGATGCTAAAGCCTTCAACTACTCCCCACTGTTCCCGTAGCTAGAGCCTAGAAGCTTCTTCAAGTGCTTGCCTCTGTTTCTGTTGGTATGTGAGTTTAATTGATTGATTAATCAAGAATTTTTTGGAAGATCAGTGGGTTGAAGCTGTATTGTCGGCCCGTAGAGGCAAGATCTTACCTGTATAGTAAATCCTCCTAGAAATTCCAGGAGGACACACACGCGACAAGACCACCACTGATACTTACTGCTGCCATATCTGTGTGGTTGCGGCTCATTTATTTGCAATGTCATTTCCAAAGCAAGTAATGGACCAGCTAGAAGAAGCATTAAACAATGATGGGTTTGGGGATCCATAAATTTTCCTGGTATTCTGCTGCTGGGAATATTATAACCTGATCTTTGTGGCTCATTTCATTGTGGGGTGAAGTCAAAGGGACTCACGTACCAACTGGCTACGTGGTCTAACCCTCTAATGGAGTCAAGGAAGGGAAGGAAATTGCACAATTTGCACACTCATCGTCATCGTCATTCAATCTGCCATGACAGTCCAAGCCACTCAGGCACTTAATGTCTTTCTGTGTCATGGCCAGAAACCAAGTGCGTACGGCGCGGGAGTCCTTGGACATGTGGTCTAAGTTCGACTTTGCTACATACCATAGCAATGACCTTTTTATAAGTTCGGCATGAATTTGTAGATTTTACAAATAACTTGAAGTACAATATATGTTTTCATTGACCGTTTTAGTGAATAAAGTCGACTGGCGATTAATAGTATCATGGCATATTAATGTCTATGTTGGCTCATATTGGCTGACCTCTACAAAATAATGCTAAATTGATTATACTTTTAACTACTAAATCATTAAACCAAAAGGATGATGATGTTAGTTGTAAGATCGATAAAGTTAGTCGACTATTAATTAGTCAGTTAGGTCGATGTTCAAGAAACGGTTAAGGGCTCAAGGGTGGTTTAGTAATTTATTAGGTTTAGTAGATTTAGGGTTTCGAGTCAGAGTCTATATAACAGGAGCGACGGTAGAAAGTGGTAGCATTATTAGGCAAGTGGTGCGTGATAATTTTATGTTGCTCTGATATTGCAATGGTTCAACAATTTCAAATTTTAAGGTGCGTCATAATTTCCTTCACCTACCTCCGACCAACGAGGCCCACGTGCTAATGTGGAATATGCAATCTAAGTCATAATGCTATTTTCTCTGGCATAATATATATTATGCTATTATTTTATATCTTAGTGGCTAAAATATAATGTATTTTAAAGTTATTCAATGGTTCAACCTCGACCAACCCAATTAGTCCAATTTTTATCATTTCAAATATATATTATATAATTATTCAATATCATAACGATCAAATTATAGTGTATTTTACAGGAAATCGTTTGGTATTTGTTAGTAAAAAACTAAACAGAAAGATCTATTTGGTTATTTTAAACATTAAAACGATCCTAAACATTTTCAGTTCCTTTTGAATTTCTATGGTTTTATTCCCGAATAAGTGATGTGCAAAATGGCGAATTGCAGTCATCTCTTTTCTTTCATTATTTTTTATTTTCAAATAGAAAGTTTAAAAGTAAAGAATAATTAGAATTTGGTATGGGTCGGTCAAACAGGCCAAATTTCAAGTTTTGGTCTGTTTTGATCAAGTCTAATTTATAATCGCATGCTTCCCTGATACTCGATAATAATCTCAATCCAAACCAGTTTGGCAGGTGAGTCTGTGCTTACCACCATTTTCTAGGAATACGACAATGGTGGTTCCTATCCCAAATCGTGTTGTTCGTTCTTGATTTTCTTAGATTTTATCATGGCCTGACAAAAACCAGAAAGCACAATGACGACAAGATGAAATTTTTATAACGCAATTAATTGGCCAACGGGCCGAGTAAAAGCTAGCAAAGATTGTGAGATGCTCATTTCCCGAAAATTGACGAGATAGGCGATTTTTTATTCGATTTTCTGGAATTCGGTTTCTATAAAACTTACATCACCTCATCATATTACCAGAAACAATATTATTTCACAAGGTAACAGGTACTTGATTTTGGTTCATAAGGCCGATTTTTGATTCGTTGCATCATTCATGTCTTTCCTGCTAAAATTCATTATTTTTATCACGTGTTTCCCAAAAAAAAAACTAT